ACAGCCTAGAAAAAGAGCTCTTTCCTCACAGGAGGTGGTGAGTTCGATCCTAGGTAGCAGCAGATATTTCTTCTTCTGCTGCTGCTGTGACTGTCTGCTGTGAACTTCATGTAGGCATCAGGGAGGGCATCTGGCCAGCATTAAATGAAAGGCAGGTTTTAAAAAGGAAAAGCACCAACAGATCGAAGACAAATAATTGAAAAATCCCTTTCCCTTTTTCTTCTCTCACTCAGTAATGATCTTCTCCCTGTTCCCATTCCTGAATTTTTTACTCTCTAGCAGGCACAGCGATGTAGGGCAGAATACACACGTATTCTCAGCTGTGGATTTATTCAGAAGGTCAGTTTTTTCCCCCCAGGGTGACTGGAGAGATTTCTGAAAGCAAATCCGCCGCAATGGTGAAATAAACAAATAAAGCGGTAGAAAATAATGATTTTTCCCCCACAAAGGGTTTAGTAGTCCTGTGTTGGCTCCTCTAATGGCGCTTTCTCAGATAAAGGATCGGCAAAGGTGGCTGTGGGATGATGACCTAAAGAGGTTGAACATCGGCAGTAAAAACAACAGGAGACTCTGCCTCCTTACAGCAATATAGTCAACATAAAAAGGTGTTCTAGAACAGACTAAAAATCAGCTGTAAAAACAGAATCTCTTGCTCGAGAGATAGAATGTTTTCAGGAACAGGAAGGATGGATGTCAGCACCATATAAACAATGAAACAATCCTGGGTGAAGTATCTTTTGCTGCTTACATTCTTCAGAATAGAATAGAATTCTTTATTGGCCAAGTGTGATTGGACACACAAGGAGTTTGTCTTTGGCGCATAGGGTCTCAGTGTACATAAAGAAGAATAGAATAGAATAGAAAATAGAATAGAATAGAATAGAATAGAACAGAACAGAACAGAATAGAGTTCTTTATTGGCCAAGTGTGATTGGACACACAAGGAATTTAGTTTTCTGAACATTTAGTTAAAGTACAATCTGGCCTGAATTATTGAGGTGTATATTGATATGAAA